GCCTACCTCCAAATGAGCAATGCTCTGGCACGAGATTGTCAGCATCCGTCAGTCACTTGACATCTAAGAGGTTAAGAAATCCATGATTTGAGGTGTTCTTCACAATGTCATCTATTTTCCTTGAACACTCCTTTGCCAAAATGAACAGGTTTTCCCCATTCATTTATATTAGTCTGAAGGCAAATGTGACTCTTGGCATGAAGCTCTGGTATATACGAACAATTCAATACATTTGTGAGACTTGTCTACAGCACCACTAATAAATCATAGTAATCCCATCTATTTATCTTAATCAGGAAGATGCATTACCTCTAGATTGAAGCACTGCTCTGAGCTATTTCACTTTTTTATGTCATTGGTGATGTGTTGTATCAGGAATGTTCCAGTTCAATGGCATGCTGTAAGCACTGCACACAGCAGAGCAACACAAACAGCACTGACATTATGACCCAATTGAGTAGAAGATATACAATTTATTTTTTATTGTGTCTGGTTTGGGAGCTAAATTGTATAATGTGGTAATACTGTATTATAAAGCATCAATGCATTTAAGAGGAAACTCAATGCATACCTGAGTAAGAAGGGAATAGAGGGGCAGAGGGGGGAGGCTAGGGAGGAGGTCCTTTATGTCCTTTAGAGGCATTTTCCAGGTGAGAGACCTCAAGAAATGGATGATGGCCCTCTACAAAGTGTCATTGAATTTAAATGGCATTTTAGCATTATTGGGCTATCAACGAATTTACTATTGAATCAAAGTTCTTCCTATGTTTGGAGATTAGCCGTGGGGGAGCTGACCTTTCAAGAGGGGGAGTCGACATGAGTCTGAGTAGGCAGCATGATTGTCGAGGCTGGCGTAATGTTTTGTAAAGAATTCAGACCAGGCAAAGCTAAAATCTAATTCTATTTAATGCAGAAGATCGTAAAATTAATTTCCCTGCTGGGCAACCCCACATACAATAATAATAAAGGGCAAGATGATAATAAAGTACAAGCGCATACTGAAACAATACTACCAGATAGCTGGAGGACTTCCTTCTTTGGTCATCACGTGCACAAACCGGGTGAAACAAAGTGAAGTCCTTCATTAGTCTAGTCCATATTTATAATCATAGTCCATCCGTTTGTCGCATGCCTTATGCACATGGACACCTCCTGCATTCCACACGGCCCCTTCTCTTGGTTCCTGAGGTGTTCCGGTTCTCTGCCTTTTGTCCTTCTTCCTTATTCAACGTCTAGCAGATAGTTCCTTAGGTTGCTGACTCTTTGTCCTTCTTCCTTAATCAACGCCTTAAGATAGTTCCTTAAACTGCTAACTTGATAGCACTTCTGTTAAAACAAGCTACTTACATACACAATAACATCTCTTCAAGAACAAGTCTGCTCATGTGGTTACATTCTGCAGACAGCTTTTCCTGTTGAATTATGCCTACACACATATATTGGTTTTAATGATTATATGATTTATATTTTAACGTAACAGTTTTAATATGCCTGTGTTCACAATTGTGTAAAACGCTGAGGCTTTTTGTCCTGCAAAACGAAATTGGAATTAGATGCTCCCAAAATATTCTGCAGCAATCCCAGCTATAATATTCTTGACAACTGTTCATCAAGACTAGTTTGGCTCAACAATTTGGTACTTGTTATCTCTGCTCTTGTATTCTGTCTCTCTAAAATAAGCTTAGGTTGTATTCAGAAGTTATTGATTGAGAATATAAACTGCCAATCCGCCCACTCCATTTTGAAAAATAATGACTCATGGAGCAGAGGTTTATACTTGTTCTTTGACAGATAAGTAATATATAATTATGCTGAATGCATGTGTGTGGGGAGAAGGGGTGGGAGGAGAGATTGCATGTGAAAAATGTTTTCAGGAAATATAACCTAAAATGCCACGAGTTTTACTGAAACCCCAACTGAAATCATAGACACAAGGGAGAATTATGTTTCCTTAAAGTTCCTTTCCTAATTGATTTCTCTTTACATACATTTCTAGTAAATCTTTCCTGCTTGTGTGCTGTTTGTGTAATATGGTTGGTGAGCTTTAGATTGTAGAAGGAAGAGAAAACAAGTGAAGTGAGGAATAACAGACTTGTCCTGAGTTGCGATGGGAGACTACAATTCATTTGAGGAGGAAGACAAAAGGAACAAGGAGAACATTATCTGGAGATCTGAAGGAACAAGAGAGAGAACAAGAACAACGACTTGAATTCCCTCATGCAGGGAAGCATCCCGGAGCACTTGACAATGGCAGAGCACAACGCCTTATCCGGCGGGAGGTAGCTGTAAGCATGTTCAAGGAGGAAGGTCTTCAGGTGTGACCTGAAGATGGGAAGGAGGGGCAAAGTGGAGGGATTGAAAGAGAGTGTTCCAGAGTTCCAGAGAAGTTCAAGTGAGAAATAATAGTTCATCAATAGAAAAAGACAAGAATGGTTGTACTGGATAGACAGACACTGGAGACTTGAAGTAAAAGAAGTATTTTCTTTTGGTCTTTACTTGTGTTTTGTCCAGAAAACCAGGTGAAGTGCTAGATAAGCCTCATCGGATAAGGCAAAAGTAATATGGTTAGAAGGGGGATATATTTCTTCTTGGTGGAATTAAAAGGTGTGAGAATTCTATATGAGATCAGAAGGAATAGTGGGCCTGGAATGTCAATAGATGATTAAGTGTGTAGTCATCAAATCTAATTTAGCTGTTGGGTGGACTTACAAGAGACCTGAGGCTAAAACAAAAATTTTCCTCAGAAATGTTATTACTGGGACCACAATTTTGATAAATTGCATACAAGTAGTATTGATCATTCGTGAAGCAAGTTTCATCTAAAGAAATCAATATACAATGTTCAACACAAAGCATATTTTTATTCAAGAGTAATCTGACAGTTGGTTTGCATTTATTTGGATATTCTACTTGGATTTGGATCCAATATAAATCAGATCTTCATTTTTCTGTAGTCAGGAAAATCAATCATGGAGAATCATACAGTCTTTCATTACTGTGGCTTGCAGGGTAAACTGAGAATATGTTGTTCATTTAATTTCCTCCTGTGCTGGATTACCAGTTAGTTGCCTCATGATAATTTGTGTGACAGTAACGTGGTGGTTAGAACTGGAACAAAACATTAGGTTTCAATTATACTTTATTCCCCACCACTACTGGCTCCATTACATTTTGTTTTCACTGGTTAGACTCCAGCAGTACTCCCAACACCCACTCTGGTGTCCCCAAGCCTTGGTTCTTGCCAATCTGTGCCTAATACTTTTCAGATTTAGGTAAGCAGGATGCGTTGCTCCGGGGAGAGAATGCACAATTTCCATGTATATGTAGGATGCATGAAATTCTCATTTTGGTTTGGATACTCTTCAGCATGGTGATGGCTATCCGCATCTGTCAGACACCCAGCTGGCCAAACAGAAATGCCTTGTTTAGTTTCATACCTGAGTATGTGTTTGTGTGTGTGTGTGTGTGGGGGTGGTCGGGGGGGGGTGGCAATTGGCTGCTGCATTTCATCCACAAAATACATGGTCAATTCACTTTACAGTATATTCTGTGAAGCGCTTTCAGGAGCCTTGAAGACGTGGTATATTAAATGCAAGGATTATTTATTCATATTATTTATTTGCTGTGCTTTTATTTAAATTGAGATAACTAGGTAAAAGAACAGGTCCACGGTGTAGGACACTGTCCAAGTTTTGGGAGTTTCAAGGTGACAGCTTTTTAAAACACGGAACCAACTCTATTTATTTGTAAAAATGAATCATAATTAAATCTAAGATCATTGTTATTTTGTGTGAATGCATGGATAAGCAACTTTTTTTTTCCAAAATGTCCTGCAACAAATCTGGACAGTATCTGAATTATTTTTATATCCCCACCCCACCCGCAGACCACCATCAGCGGCTGAATTTTCAGTTATCTAACCTCTGGAACTCCCTCCCTTGTTCCCTCTGACTCAACCCTTCTCTATCTCTCCTTGAATCCTACCTTAAAGCCTATCTTTTTAAACCACGCTTATGTTCCCCCTTATTCAATCCCTGACCTCACCATTGTGAAGGGCTCCAATATGTTATGCTATGTGAAGTGTATTATTTACCTGATGCTTGTTGTTCTCTCTGTGTCTTTATTGATGCATTAGTTCACTGTACATCATTTTCAAAAATCAGAGCAAAATATAATACTTTACGGTTACTTTTGCAGAGAATATTAAATAGCCATCGTGATTTATTTTTATACCTAATAATTTAGTCCTGAAAGTACACAAAGTTGACCTAAAAATAACCAATTAATTATAAGTTACCCTGCAGTTTTCTCCCGTCATCCTTCAGTATCAATAATTCAAACAAAAGTTCCCTTCAATTCAACATTTAACTCTATCATTTAGTCTGTACTTTATGATGAAAAGCTTCACCCCTTTACAGCTAATATTTTTAGACATCTTTTGTAAGATCATCGCTGATCTCAGGTATCAGTAAATCCATTTATTTAAAAATGACCAGATCCCAGCAAATATCGCTCCAATTAATTGTAAGACTAACTACATGTAATGCCTGGCAATAGATTTCGTGAACATCACTATTAAGAGAAGTTCACTGCCCAGATTCCAGTACTTAGTGCCAATGGAGACATTCTACTAATTTATTTTACCCGAGGGATAGTAAATATTTCAGTTTTTATTGCCTGAAAAGAAGTGTAAGCTGATCTTGCGCATATCTCTTCAAACCCATGACTTGTGTACCGTGGTAATGAGTCACCCTGTAAACAACATGTTCGCTGTTATTATTCTTTACTCCACACGCTGATAATAATCCCTCAAAAAAATAATAATAAGTTGCAATTCACGACTGTTTGTGGGACAATTGTGTGCAATTGGCTGCCACATATACAGTTAATTCACTTTACAGTATATTCTGTGAAGTGCTTTGAGACGTCTAGAAGACATGAAAAGCGCTATATCAAATGCAAGGATTATTATTATTATATTAAATGGTTTCTCTCCCTCTTTTAAAAAATAAAGTCAACACATACTGTACTTTTTTGTTGCAAAAACGATAAGCCCTTTAATAAATCACTTTCAGCCTTTGGGAGAAATGAAGGTCATTTCAGATTTATTGTGTGTGTCCGGCTCACACGTTTATGGTTATTTCTCCTGATCAGATTAAGTTTGAAAAAAATGAAATAAAGAGACAGCAAAATACCAAAGCTCATGCATAAACAGTATAAACACACACACACACACAGCTGTGGGTGACATGCAGTTACAAAGGGTGCTCGATCGTTCTGAAAAGGATTTTCTTGAAAGCCTTCCTGAAGTCTCTGTTGAAGATGGTGTAAATGATGGGGTTTAAGGAACTGTTGCAGTAGCCGAACCAAAAGAAAAATTTAAAGAGAGGGCCAGGCACTGAGCAACTCTTCCTGCAGATGGCTTTAAGACTGTAGGTGAAGAAAAAGGGGAACCAACAGATCACAAAAACTCCTATCACCACAGCCAGGACGTAGGTGAAGCGTTTCTCCCTCAGTTGAACCATTTTATTTTTGCTCATGTTGGACCTGGGACACTTTCTCTGACCGGCTCGGTCGCTGGTCCAGCCCAAGCGGGTTCTCTTAGTCTTGGAGGCAGAGTTGATTGACGTTTGGTGCTTCCTCTCGCTGAGGTCTCTGGAGATGCTCACCTTGTGCTCAGAGGATGGGCTCTCTTCCAAATCAATGTCCTCCAACTCCTCTTGCCTCTGGTTGCTGATTGAGCTCATTGTGCTGGGGGTTTCTGGCTCAACCTTAGCCTTGTTGGCAAAGCATGTTTCGGGATGGGAGGTTTGCCTGCTCGCCCCACTCCTGGTCCCTGATACACTGGATGTCCTCTGTTTGGCCACTCGGTAGATCCGGAAATAGACTAAGATCATGATCATGCAAGGAGCGAAGAAGGAGACCGTACAAGACAAGAGAATGTACCAAGTATCATCATTGAGCTCACAGCAGCCCGTGTTACTGCTGTTGTTGTCAATGGCAGCCAAGGGTGGGAGGGAGATGACAGCAGATATCAGCCAAACGATGCCGATCATTTGCTTAATTCTCTTGGGAGTCCTTTTGGGGTTGTATTGCACGGCCCTGGTCACTGACCAGTACCTGTCCAGACTGATGGCACACAGGTGGACAATGGAGGAGGTGCAGAAGAGGACATCCAGAGAGAGGTAGATCCCACACCAGGTGCTCCCAAACTGCCAGTAGCCCATCACCTCGCTGGCCAGGGAGAAGGGGATGACCAGGGCGGCCACCAGGATGTCAGCCGAGGACAAGGAAACCAGGAACAGGTTCTGAGGAGCCTTGAGGGCTCTACTGGTGAGCACCGCCACCACCACCAGCACATTGCCCAGGATGGTCAGGGAGATGGTGATGGCGACCACAGTGATAACCAGAGCAGCGGCGCTATGGGAGTAAAGTGGCTCAGAGTCCCGGAAAGCGCTGCCGTTCAGCCCCTCAGACCGGTTGGCAGCTGATGGTCCGCAGGTCGCCATCTCGGGGTCCCGGTGCCCGCTCCGGGTACCGCCTCAGCGCTCCAGTCCCGCGGTCCCCATCGCTGAAGCCTCTCCGGGACTCCGCTGTATCTCAGCGGCGGTCACTGCGTCGAGATCCGCAAAGTTCATGGTCAAAACTTTTCAACCCTCCGCAGCTCCGCAGCTCCTCCCGCAGCCCTCCCGCAGCTCCGCAGCTCCTCCCGCAGCCCTTCCGCAGCTCCTCCCGCAGCTCCCGCAGCTCCTCCCGCAGCTCCTCCCGCAGCTCCTCCCGCAGCCCCTCCCGCAGCTCCTCCCGCAGCTCCGCAGCTCCTCCCGCAGCTCCTCCCGCAGCCCTCCCGCAGCTCCGCAGCTCCTCCCGCAGCTCCGCAGCTCCTCCCGCAGCTCCTCCCGCAGCTCCTCCCGCAGCTCCGGACCCCCCGATGGGGAATCCCGCAACTGGTTTCAGTTTTGCGGTCGGACGCTGTGCGGATCCCCGGGAGGTTTGCGGAGACTGTTCCAAACCTCCCACATCCCGACGTCAATCCGAGACTGAACCCACAGTTCGGGTATCTGCGGTTTGTGTTGTATTTTAATCCGCAATAAGATTGCGTTTGATTGCGGACACAGAGGTTGTGACCGCAGAGCCTCAGTCCTGAGGGACCCTCAGAGTTTAGTGTTTAATATGAAGTGTAACGCGCGGCAACAACACGATATGTAATACAATCCCCAACGTATCCGATGTTTAATGTTTAATAGTTTCTGTGTATTAAATACTGCAAATGGATTTCTTTGATGGATGTAGTGACATAATAACGGTCTTTGTACATCATCCAGGACTGGGGGGAGGTCTCACAGCTTCACTTCATCTACTGTAAAGTGTAGTGACTGTGCATTATGTAGGTGATGGTTTCACTGAGCTGTTTAATTCCTTAAATTCCAAATAACTTTAGTAAGTGCGTGTTTGGGGGATGGCGTTGGTTAAAAAAAATCCCTGGACCCATGACTTTTTGACAGTAATTTTACTATTATCGCTAACAATAGTGCAGTAACTGAACACACAACTAACTCTCAGCCGAATTAAAACTGCTGTGGTGTCAGTCTGTACATCTTCGAGCAGTGGTCGACAGAAGACACGAGTCAAACACCCTATATGTGTAATAAGCCATCGTTTGGGTTTAATTTCACAGCAATAAAGTGGCAAGTCTGTGTGTGACAAACTACTATTGTATTAGATATTGCTGTAAAGCATTCCAGTCTAAAGTACTGTTTCATTACTGCTTATACCTGTTCCCTGACTTAACATAATGATAATCCTGGCATTTGATATAGCACCTAATCACGTCTTCGAGAAGTCTCAAAGCGCTTCACAGAATATATGGTAAAGTGAATTAACTGTATATTTTGTGGGTAAAACGCTAACAAAACATAAACCCTTGTTGCATGATGCAGGATGCAGCAGGCACCGACCGGGAAGCATCTGATAGAGATTAACTAAGAGGCAGAGGTGAGAAAAGCAGCCGACGATTTTTTGTACTCATGTTGTTAGTCGCTTGATTTCCAGTTAGTTTCCGTCCATTCTCCTGAATGGCGCTTGGGTCAGAAGAGTGACACAAATACAAAAACAACAAGCAACAAAACGTTCCTCTTCCATATATATATATATATATATATATAAATAGCATCAAACATGGAACAGGATTTCCTGTTTTCCTCACCGCCTACCCCACCTCGCCTGCCCCTTACCCACTCCACTGCGGAGAACTCTGGCAATATAGGGCAAACATGTCTTTTAATCTGGCAACCCAGGGGAAAGGAGAAATGCATTACACCTGGGTGCTTTGCTAAAGTAATCATAATAAAACAATAACTGGATTTGTCAGCAATGCACTCCTACTGGCAACAAATCTGCAAGGGTTTTAATGGGGCAAAGGACAGTCCAACCACGTGACAACTATGTGGAATCAGTAAACATCATTTGACAATCATCAGTAAACATATTTAATAGCTCCAAGTCACTAAAACATCAAATGCAGTATTTTAGAAATTTTTGTGTTAACTTAATATCTTTGCCACTTGTCTGACACTCGTCAAACATTTATTTGCCGAGTGGTCCACCTGGCGGCCCAGGCGGGTGATTTTATTCAGCCCAAGACCTTTTCAAACATTCCAACTTCCACTCCCTCCCTCCCTCCCTGGTGACCATCCTCCCAGGGCAGAGCCAGGAGCTGGCGGTTGGCAGGACACAGCCGTTACTGCAGTCTGTCAGGAGGGCAACCGCATCCTTAACAACCGCTGGCGCCTGTCAATGCAGACAGTGATTGCAGTGTGGCTGATTGGGAGAAAGAGGGATTGAGAGGGTGAGAAAAAAGGGGATTGAGAGAGAGGGTGAGAGAGAGGAGGGAAGAGAGGGAAATACAGGGCAAGACTGGGAGAGAGACTGGGGGAGAGGGGAGAGAGAGAGGGAGAGAGAGGTGGGGGAGAATGGGGAGAGGGGAGGGGGTAGGTTTGAGGGGAAGAGAGGGGGAAAGAGGGTGGTAGAGCGGGAGAGAGGAGTGGGGTAGAGGCGGAGCAAGAGGATGGGGCAGAGGGAGGTGGGAGGGGGACAGAGAGGGGGAGAGAGGGGACAGGGGGCAGAGAAGGGGAGAGGGGAGGAAAGGGGGAGAGAGTGGGAGGGAAGGGAGAGAGTAGGTGTGTGAGAGAGAGGTAAGAAGGGGTGAGAGAGAGAATGATATAAAGAGGAAGAACGCAGAGAGAGATTGAGAGGCAGTGTGAGAGAGGGAGAGAGATAGTGTGAGAAAGAGAGAGTATGTGAGGTGGGAGGGAGTGAATGTGAAACAGAGGGAGAGAGAAACAGAGAGAAAGGGAAAAATTGAGAGATAGTTTGAGGGTATAGAGTGTGTGGGAGAAAGTGTGAGAGAGAGAGGAGGTGAGTGGAGAGAGTGATTGAGAGGGGGGCAGGTGGAGTGTGAGAGGGAAGAGAGAGTGTGAGATGGTGTGAAAAGGAAAGTGAGAGAGCAATTGAGAGAGAGTGATTGAGGGAGAGAGAGAGTGACGGAGATAGAAACAAAAGAGAGCAAAGAGAGGTGAATTGGGGGCAATGTTTTGTGGTTCACTGTCAGGACAGACGATCGGAGCTTACCTCAGGGAGACCGAGGATGGACACGGAGTGACGTGCAGTTTCCTCACAGAAAGCTCCCTCTCCCCCAGTGAGAAACCTCTCTATGTCCTTAAAAATAAAAAATAAAAAATAAACAAAATAATAATAGTCACTCAATCCACGACTGTTTGTGGGACGCTGCTGTGTGCAATTGACTGCCACGTTTCGCCCACAAAATATACAGTCAATTCACTTTACAGTGTATTCTGTGAAGCGCTTTGAGACGTCTTAATGATGTGATACAGCGCTGTATAAAGTGCAAGGATAACTATTCCTATAACATAAACAATACATTTACCGCAAATATCAAATTATTCTTATTTTTTTAAGGGATTATTACCCCTGGAAAACAATTCGACAATCTACTAACAACCGGGTTCCTACTTACTGCTGGGTAAACAGAGGTGTGTGGAGTAAGGAAACTTGCCTAAGATTTTGCCTGATAGGCTATTTATTGTAAAGGTAAATGGTTCTTAGTTGCTCTGTGGTTGTTGTTAATCATTAGGAATAAAAATAATCTGCTAAAATGCTTTCTTCATATGCCATGTATGAAGTTCAATTGATGTCACAAAGTAGTTCCCCTCGATATCATATAAATACAGGGATGTACAGGACTCCAACACAACACTGCACCCACATCAAACAGTCTCAAAGTTAAAACCTCAAAACAAAATCTATGAGTTTCAAAGTCTTCAGTTGATTTCTTCAATAGGTTTAGCCTGAATAACAATACTTTTAATAGCAGATATCCTCCTGCTATTAAAATGAATATTAAAATGGGAAATGATTTGTAATATAAGAACTTAGGAATTGCTAGATGGAAAAAGACCAAAGTCCATCTAGTCCGCCTTCCACCATCCTGGTCATCACATGCTACAATACTGGAGACGTTTATAGCAATTAATTCTGTATGAATTAGTCTACCCTAGATCCAAAGTTGCCTTGTTCTTCCAAGCATACTACACTTGTCGTGTCTCAAATTACTCATTTGGATCTCATAAAAGCTAATGCCACTTGGAAGTACCTGAGAAAATTAAATGGTGTGAGCTTGACTTAGTTGCTACCACTTTTGAGTCTTGAGTTAGAAGGTTGTGGGTTCAAGCTTCACGCTGGGGACTTGGAGCTCCAGTCTACGCTGACATTTGAATACATTGTTGGAGCTTCCATCCTTCAGATGAGGCATTACGTCAAAGTCCTGTCTGCCTGTTTGGAGTGGTGTATAAAAAGAGAGGGGAGTTTCTCTTGGTGCCCTAACCAACAATCCCCAGATAAAATTGCTTTTACGTCATGGCGGCTTGTGGGAAATTTGTGTGTGTGAACTGACTGCTGCATCTATCTCCAAACACACTTTACGGAACCCTTTGTGAAATGTTTCATGTCGGGAGAACATCCCAGGTGCTTGACAGTCCCGGCTTGGTACCCGAGTTGTGGGCACCAGCTTCACAAGGCGTTTTGCTCTGTTGTACAGATCCCCTGGCAAACACAGGCCTGTGCAATACAAGTGTTTACAATCTCATTACTGTCAGGGAAGGGAATGTCAACAAGTGATCTAAGAAATGCTGAAGTTTTTCAAGCTTCATACAAAGAGTCTGCTGTTGAGGCATTCTGACTGAGCAGGAAAAGATAAATGGGCAATGACTCAGAAGTGCCAATGCTAGCAGCTGCAAAGCCTTTGGTGCATCGTCCACCGTTTCACAATTGCTGTGACTAACACTTAAATTTTTAAGATATACAATACAAATACAATACAAGTTACATTTGCCTTTCACGTCGGGAGGACTTGAAAGATTTGAGTCGTCGAGCCAGAAGAAAGGGGAGGTGACTATAGGCAAGTCGAATAGGAAGGTCTTCAGGTGCGACCTGAAGATGGGGAAGGTGGAGGAATAGAGGAAGAGTGTTCCAGAGTTTGGGGGTGTAGTGGCTGAAAGCCCGGCCACCAATGGTGGAACAGAGGGCGCAAGGGACATGCAGAAGGGTGGAGTCAGTCAAGCGGATGCAGCGGGTTGAGGGTCGAGGGGT